ACAGCAGTGACTGAGGATCCTTTGATAAATCAGTCAGTGCCTCGGGACACTGACAGGGCTGACGAGCCCAACCCTTTGGAGCTCACACCAGTACCAGTAGCAATTACCCAAAGATTTATTTTTGCATTGACAGCCTAAAAATGTTCAAACCTTGGCATGTCTGTGGGAAAAGAAGCCAGCTCACTCTAATTTCCCACAAGTTTAAGAGAAAATGAAGGACTGCAAGGAACAGTAAAAGAACACTTTAAATATTGGAAATGAGAAGTTGTATTATTCTTGTTTTTAAATATTGGCTTATTTTGGATTTGGGTTTTAAAGTGCCTGAATGTACTGAATTGCTGCCATGTGTTTGAATGATGATTAGAATGGCTAAGGCAGAGCTGAGCTGAATGTTCAGACTTGCAAGAATAAAATGTATCTAGACTATTTTATGATATTTATGTAATGTTAGAGACACGTGGGCGGTGTACAATACATAAGCACATGCAAGCGTCAGTCAAAAAAAGACCTCACCGAACTGAACAGAGCTGCACTCACTTTGAGCTTATCTTAACACATCTCACTTGATTTAAATCACCGTCTCACAAAAGTTATAAACAAAAGTTTTTATTTAACTTGATCTACACTGACTGATTTAATGATAAGAAGCAGATGATAAAGAGACACTAGCTATCACATGACTTTAAACTTTTGTCTATTGCTGTCATTAGGCTGAAGATTATATCAGACCTAGACTTTTTGTTGTCAAATACCTTCAAAATTGAAGCCATTCTCTATCAAGCTGTGTTTAGTACTAAGTCATTTTATTTGTTCTTTTATCCTAAAGGTTGTGATTTAAAGAATGCTCTTTTTCACACTGAGATCGAGAGTTGGCTCAATAGTAAGCTGTTAACACTCAACTAAATGATCAGTCATCACCATAAGTCATGTATACATCTATAATGGTGCGCATCCAATGGTCATACCCGCTTGTATGCCTGAGCTGTCAGTTATTATGAATTAATAGCCATAAAAGTGCAGACATTCAGCTTAATGAGTAATATGTCATATTTCATTAATATTTCATTAATATTTTGAGTTTTCACTTCACTATTCGAAAAAAGATGTTAACACTATGATACTTTTCATCTGTGTCCTCCTTCCCTCCCAAAACCTTCAGGCAGAGGAGTGGAGTCAATCATTCATGTTTAATGCACCTAATTTCAACCAGATGGAGCAGTTTGGAGAAAAAAATAGTCAGGCGAAAGCTATAGAATGCATAATTAAAACACAAAAAGTCAAAAGCAGCTCCACAGAGAGGCACATACTCCTGGCTTGGCAAAGTGACCGAAACCTCAAAGGAAAGATTATGGAGTTTACAAAAAGGGAAAGCAACAGAAACCACAGATGTCGTCAAAACAGGGTTTATCCTTGAGGTTACTGCTTCTACGTAAATGAACGTGGGCGGGAGGGCCACATGAATACCGGGCTTCAGCGCTAAACATAAAACTTACAGCAGCCTATGGGGATTCTACACTTATGTACTAAAACGCACGCTACATGTCCTGTTGAAGGAGTTATATGCACATGCAAAATTGACAATTATTTCTTTCATCAGCTGTGACATTAACGCCCTTTAAAATTAGTGGCCGTGGCTTAAAAACCCAGGGACGGTGTAAACACTCCAAATAAAACAGTCTTCTCTGGTTTGATGAGTCTGTCCCTGCAGAGATGCGCCTCTCTGAGAAGCATTCATTAGAGCACACCACCCACATGCAGTTTACCGAGCCCTTAACCTCACATTACCAATCTCTGCAGGCTGTGTAATCAGTGTGCATCTACATATGTGTGTCTTTGCATGCGCTCAAGTCTACGTGTGGTTTTGGGGGGTCTGTTAGCTTTCCCACTCTGCTGACCATGTTTCCACTTTCCCTTGGAAAATTCTACCAGACCTCAACAGAATTTTTTGATCCAGCAGTTTGTGTTGAGGACTTTGTGTAGAATAACTGTACTGACAAGTGCTTTTGGCAACTATTTTTTAAGTTCTACAGTAGCAAGGAAACACACACATCTGTGCTTATGGTCTTTATTTATTTATTTCTTAAGTGTGGCTATAGGGATAGTTTTGAAAGAAGAAAACCAATTTACTACTAAACCTTCAATGAAGGTTTCAGTGGAAAAGTCAATGAAAACTGCAGGATTATAGTTTTTAAGTAGAAAGGAAATGCAGTTGTGTAGTCCTGGAGAGTCAATAGGCCACAAATAAAGTGTGAGGTGTGGAGCAAATGAGGAACAAGTCTTGGTGAAGCAAAGGAACATCTGGGTTTTTGCATGGAGTTCAGGGATGTGTTTTACACAATTTTTGATGGGGTTTATAGGACAGATTTCCTACTGTTCGCTGGCTACTGTGGTAAAGCGGCAACTTAAATTCAATTTTCCCTGTCATAGCAGTTCAACTAAAATTGAAAAAAGTGATTTTTATAGGGGATCGTGTGGATTATTCCATGAGTGGTCTCAGTGGTATAAATCTTACTAAGAACAAAGAAATCGATGAACTCAAAAATACAGAGCAAGGGTGGAGAGATAAATGCAAAGCCTGAGGTGGCAAATAGTTTCCCCAGGTGTGAGTCTGGCAAGAGGGGAGGTCCGCAGAGGAGAGTTTTCCAAGGCCAAACTGGCAGGAACTTTGAGGCGGGAATCACAAATAAGCACAAGGAACCAAATGCTGAGCAAAAAAATTGAGGGAGCCTGGCGTAGTGCTGCTTAGCGTGTTGTACTGCTGCAACAGCAAGTGGGTGGATGAGCCTCTCTTAAATACAGCAGGTGAGTGAATAGTTGATTGAGTACAAGTGTTCAACTGTATAACCAGCTCTAGCCACAGACCTGAGAGAGCCTCGAAACAGCATGGAAAGCAATTAACTCCACACAGAGACACAGTGAGGAGAGAGGGAGAGAGAAAAGAAAGGAAAAGAAGCACAAGAGAAAAAGAGAGAAAGCGTCAGCCTGCATTGAAAGCAAGCAGGTTTGCTACAAAAGAATGAATTAAGCATTACTGTGAAGGTTTTCATGATTTTATATCATACATTCAGTGTTACACTGTCAGAAGCTCGCATTAAACACGGCCAAAGGTACAAGTAACCCCTGTAAATCTAACTGTTCTAAGGTTCAGTTTCAGATATTTTGTATTCAGATCTGTTTGATGTCAACAGATCAGAAACGCCACCCACCTGCCTTTCAAATGTTTTGTTTGCAGGGTGCAGCCAATTAGAAGAAAGGTTGGCTTAAAGGGAGGTGGAAGGGAATTAAAATGGACCATTTAATGAATTTAGTGGGCTTCACTGAGGCGCAGTATAAGATAAAAGGGGATTTTTGAACTGTAAATTATGTAAAGCAGCTCTGTTATAGTGCAAGAGTAAAAATTTTACTGGAGCTGAGCACATTTTCTCCATTTTTTTTCTATTAATACCAATCCAATACTAAAAGAAAAGCCTGATTAATATAGGAATATAAAAACCTTATTCTCCCTAACAGAGAATATCCTTGATACTTTTGTGACCTTCCGTTATACTTCAGAGAAAGCCATGACATAACTGGAATGGTAGCGACCATAACATGACATCAGATCTAAAACTAAAGCATCATGGGGTCAGTTGTTAGGGAACAGACTGACAGAGAAGCCAGAAATCATGTGGTGTTCAGGCCGTGGATTGAATGTGTTGATGCTAATTCATCCTGATTAATCCCGGAGAGCGATCTGGGTTCAAGATGATGGTACGCCAATCAAACTGTTGCTATGGCTGGTCAGCAGCCAGAATTATCGTAGACGTGCTGGGATGTTATTCTTTGAATACTTTGGCTTGATGCACGGAGACAGACAGCCAAGGTGAACTTTGCAGACACAATGGAACCTGGCCAAGGCAGATTTAAGAATTGCAGCGCGAGCCACTGAAGAGGAGAAGGTTGTAGAACACCCAAACATTTAGTTTGGTCAGCCTGTGGCCTGGGACAGAGGCCAAACCTTCCTTTTGTGGAATTTAGAGAGAGAAGCAGCAGCGTAAGCAACATTTGAAGGACATAAAATTGCAGGGAAATCTAAAATAGAGCTGGAACTGATTAATTTCCTGTAATACTAATTGCTGTGTGTTCATGCTAAACTAGCTCATAATGCCAAAACCAATATAGAAAGCTCTAGAAAGGAAGTGCAGCAGAAACTAAATAAATAAATGAGTAAACTGGATTTTTTTGTTTACCCTGATTGTATTTTAAATGCTGATTCTGTTCATTTTGCTCTATAAATAGTGAGTTAAAACCAGTAATAATGAGGAGAGATTCACAGATTTTATTTTATTTTTTTAAATAGCAAATAAAGAGCTAATAACATATACTAAGACCAAGAAAAGCATTTCTTTGACTTTTCCTTAAAAGATAGTCAAAACCTGAATGTCACCTTATTCTGTTATGCATTATGCGGGACACTTACTATCCTCCTTAGTGTTTTCAGTGAACTGCAGGCAACTAGTTCCCTAAAGTTGGGAAACCCGCCTTATGTCAACTACACACACTTGTTAGATTTTATTGGCTCAGATCAGTTATTTGTGTTACCACTTGTTATTATTCATACGTTTAGAGTGGATTTTAACCACAAAAAGGACCACTTTTGTCAAATTGTACCAGAGGGTTTATTTTTGGTCCCTCTTTTGCCATGCCACATGTCCACCCACACAGGGGTTCTCAATTATTTTTGCCTGATTAAACCTCTTCTTAGGACTGTGTGGGCATACACGGTTTGTTCTTCACTAACAGCCCCCTAACTTGCCTGCTTTTCTTTATGTGTACCAAAGGAAAGACACCTTGGGGGCCTATTTTACATTTCATTCAAAGCACAAACACACAAATGCTGCTAATAACAAGACTTCATTATATGCAAATGTTCCAGTGACTCGTGACAGACTGAGTCAGCCAGCAGGCACCAGCATGTCGAGTCCCAGGAAATGAACCAAAGCCACTAAAGGAATCGTATGTATGTCTTTTATTATTTACAACCATGCTTTTATAATGACCAGATACACATCTAAACAGGCACAATAACTTTAAAAGGTCAGGGATAACAAAACTCATTATAGTTTAAACCGCCTGTCACCGTTACCTATCATCCAGCCTTTAAGAAAAAAGCCCCAACAATTATGTGCGCAATTCTAATGGTGAATAGAACAAAAAGTCATGCACTTTCCTATTAGATTTACCCTGTGTTTTTCTTTACATGCATTCTACATGTTGTCTGTACCATATATAAATTAATTGCCTTCCTGTGAGTTGAAGAAGGACAGTTTATCCAGATAGGTGAGGGTTTTGCAGGCCACCAGTCCGTAATAGGTCTGCAACAGCGAACATTTTCTATCCCTCTGTCTCAGGTCAGTCCACACTCTGTCTAGTTCATGGCTCCCCATTCCTGCTGAGCTGAACATATAGTGGTAACAGCAGGCATTGTAGCGGATGTGTTTTCCTCCTGAGAACCTGGCACTGTGTGTTGGTGCAACACCGGCCTTCTTAGCACAAAGTCCCACAAAAACATCAGCTGGCACAGGTGCGCGGACCTCTGCGGATGCTACGTACACTTTTCGGACCACATCCTGGGACAGAATGTAAGCTGCCCCTTCACAGTATTCAGGAAGGTATTTGCTTGGGTAGAGAGATGGGGGCAGGTAGCCAGGACTATTGGGATCCCTGTCAGGAGAATCTCTCTGGATCACTCTGCCCAGATAGAAGTCCTCAGGGTGCCTGTGTAAGCCAAGCAGATAGCCTACAATGGCAGGAAGGTTGACAAACACAGACTCTTTGGTCAGCAGGACAAAGCGTGCCAGAGGGCAGAAGGTGATCACCCAGCGGATAGCCAGCACTGTCTTCTCTGTTGGGCCATGGAGGGATGAGTCAGCTGTAGCATGACCTTGGACCACATCTCCATAACGTTCAGACTCGCTCACGAGGGCTTCCTGTGCAGCAGAAGTCTGAGTTGATCCGATGATAAACAGTATCTGCACTGGAAAGCCTTGGATGAGTGTTTGATTGGCCCATGTCCTCCTAACTGCATCTCTTTGGGTGATATTATCTGGAGAGCTGAAGACAAGAGTGAGGAGGAAAAGGTCAGAGGTTTTGCAGACATCAGGGTTAGCGATAGGATAAGCCTGTGACACATTTTCCTTGGCATTGCTCAGGTCCAGTTTCCTTGCTTTCTCTCTCACGCCTACAACCGTGCCATCAGCATAAACCCCAGGCGTAGGCTGCAGCAGGTACTCCTCGATGAAATCGGCCCCAAATAACAAGCAGTGGAAGAGCAGCACATTGAAGAAGAGGAAGCACCACTGGTGGGTACGTAGCTTGCACAGACAGAACTGGATCAGCAGATAAAAAGATGAAGCATAGTCAATTAGAACAAAAATTAGTTAATAGAACTTAGATTAAATTGAAAACTGCAAAGAGTTCACTCTGTACCTGCATGACACCCTCTTCCATCAACTTGTTATTGTTCTTTTTGTTAGTGACAAATGACCAGAGGACCTCCTGCACTGGTCGGCTTTAGGACAATACTAGCTGACAGACAGTGTTTTCATTTTCATGAAACTCTAGCAGCATGTAACCTTGCACCGAAGCCCAGAGTCAATACCTCATTAAGAGGAGTGTACCTTGCGTCCTCCATACAACATTAATGACACCTAGAAGGAACAGAACAGTTATTCTGCATGTTATAAATGTTTTAAAAAAAAAGTACCAAAACACTAAAACTCCTCCTCCTTCTAGAAGCATACAGAACTTATTAAAATGGTGATATGTTGTATATTGTTTGGCAAGATCAACAACTAGATGCTGTCTTATCAGGCCTCAGGCACATTTAAATTTAAGGTCTGATTAAAAACAAAAAACTAAGAGCGAGAGCTGACCTCAAGTTTTCTGGGAGCTTGCTCAAGTTATGCGGGTCATAAAATCTAAATGCTGCTTCCCCAATGTTTAGTTTTGACTTTGGGAATAGAAAGAAAACCAGATGTCTCAGATAATCTTAGACTTTAGACATCAGTGGATCACAAATGTGTTTTTGGTCTCTAACCATTAAGTGCTTTGTATACCAATAGTAGTATTTTAACATCAATGCTTCGCCACACAGGAAGCCAGTGTAAATATCTGGGATATCTTCAACTGCTACTTTTTAAAGAATCTAACTAAAGAAATAATTACAGTGCACAACCCTACTGAACACAAATCCTTGCAAAGGTTTATCCAAAATCATGCCAAGACACAAGCTTTTCAGTTCTTTATAATCAATTAATTTTGTAAATGCCAAATGTAGCTGCTAAAATTTTTCTTTAGGTCCAAAAATACACCAACGTGCCAAGATGTCAGCATCTGATGCACTAAGCAATAACTTTAATCTTTGTGTTTAAAACATTACTCTGCATTTTGTTTTCATTTAATTTAAAAGAATTATTATACATCTTAATTATGTATGATGTATTAATCTGGGTTACACAAGAAAAAGCAGATGTTTGACAAAAGTGGCCCCAGAATGGATCCTTGAAGAACTCCTCATCATATATCCTTGTACAATGTCTAACTGTGCACTATACAAGTCACACAAAGTAGTCCCCGTCCTTTAATCAGTTAGCGCTTCCCCACACACTTTTACCGGTATGGTCTTTGAGTCGTTTGGTACCGGGCTGCGAGAGTTGAGCCTCAGGTGTGAAATTTATGGTTTTCAGGTTTTTTATCAGTTTTTAATGTATTTATTTTTGTGTTTTTATTGTTAACTCGGTTTCTCTGGTATTTTCCCATGTGTTATGAATAAATCTTCTTTTTTTGGTGCCGGTACTGGTTTTATTTTGTTGTATTTATCCGCAACACCTTAAAGATCAGTCCGTGAAAATATTGTTAGATATAAACCGGTCCGTGGTGCAAAAAAGGTTGGGGACTGCTGGTATACATGATATATATAGTGCCTAACTCTGTATCTAGCATCAAATGTAGCAGTCAAATGTAGCATTAATGTCAAATAAGTCCAACATTGTAAAATTTCTGCTGTAATCTGTAATTACTTGTATTTAGAATGGGCCTATAGTCTATTAGCAAGAAGGCTATATTGTTCTTATTTTAAAAGAGATGCAATTTTATGGTTTATGTGGCCTTTAAGGGAAAATTTAAGTGAAGTAACCAGAGTAAGAGTAACCAGAGTGCTGCCCTCTCACACATGCTCTACACTAGGCAACCTCACTCTTTAACTTTACATCTGCCATTTCTAGCCCCTTTTCACTAGTACATACTCAGCACTAGTTGCGGATCCTAAATGCTCATATTGTGCCATGATTACAATTACAGACTCACATTACAGACTCTGAATCTGATATGGAGACACTGGCTGCTCCTCTAAGGTTTAGGGTCTACAGGCTTATGAGGTTTTAGCAACAAATTAACCATAACAAATAAATGTATATTGTCATAAACTTAAGTATGACAGCTGGGATAGGCTCCAGTTCCCCCCGCGACCCTGAAAAGGATAAGCGGAAGCTTATCCTAAAATGCAAAAAAAAAAAAAAAAAAAAAAGCCCCCCCCCCCCCCCAAAAAAAAGGAAAGAAAAAGAAAACCCAACACTATTAGATGCATGATCTTTCCATTACCAGTAATAATGTCAGTTGTTGGTGTCAACCTGAAAGTTATAATACAGCGTAATTTTATTATTGAAGTTACACTTTGCAAGTTGTTTAAATTAAGGGGGACACATGGAGAGGGAGGAGGTGATAGGGCAGGGATTATGTAGAGCAGAAATGAAGGCTGTTGAGCCAGATTAAACCTGAGGACCAACCAACATGTACGCCACTGCTGTGTCCCTATGATCAGTCAAATATAAAGTCTTTATTGTCAGAGTTTGTACCTGATGTGGAAAGACAGTCAAACACAGTGGAACTTGGCCAAGGTGCAGGGAGCACATTTAAGTCTTTGAACTGCTATGAACTGTGTGTCAGCAGAGCAGTTTTCGACAGACTGGGAAAGTGACTTCTCATTCTTTGAACTAGTATGATGTTCATGGCTTAATGAATGACGGGGAGAAAATTTTGATTAAAAAAATTATATAACATTGGTCAGAAATGTTGAAATTACCCTTGAATTGTCTAAAAGTACCAAACCATACTGACGTACAACAAGTAAACATATATAACTATTAGATAATTTGGTTATTAGCAAGAATTTGGCAAGAAATAAAAATAATTTTTAAAAAAGAAAAAGAAAAGAAAAAGAAAACAAGGACCGAAATAAGTGGAGCATCCTTCTCAGTCCAGCAGGTGGCGGTAATGTGCCATAATGTTAGATAGCCACCGTATCCGGAACCGGATGAAGAAGAAATCATTTTGGCGGATACGTTTGGCTGAAGTCTCCCCAAACACTGGAAGATATGGCTGCTTCCATTGACAGCTTACTGGAGGAAATCGCTGGAGTTGAAGACCCAGTTGAAGAACTTCAGAGTTTAAAAACTGCTCTGTTAGCGATTCCTGTCAGTGTCTTGAAGGACTCAATTAGAGGACAGCGTTTAGATGTCATTTTCTCTCTGCTCAACTCCAGTGACAGGTGCGTTTGGCTCTTTGCATCAGCTAAACGTTGGCGAATAACTGCTGAGTCAGTCAGTGGGTATAATATATGTATTGCTAACAGTTAGCTATATTGACACTAGGTTAACGTACAAGAAGGGTTTATTAGTTAGCCTAAAAGAGCTGCTTGAAACTGAGCTAATTGTTAGCAAGCTAACTGGTTACAGTGTTACTAATAACACAGCCCCAGCAGGACACTGTTTGACATTTAAAACACCAACCTTCATGTTTAGACCATGTTTTTAACCACTGTGCCCTTTTTGGACAATGAAATTGCTACGGTTTTTGGTGAACTATGATTACAAACATGCTCAAAGTTAGCATTTAAACTACATGTGTTGTTTAAGGTTTTTTTTGAGTTGTAAACATGCAGCTGAACGAGTTCATCCAAGCACTGTTTTTAGATTGATTTGATTACTGTTATGTATAACCGCCATTCCCGGTCCCATCTAGTTTTTAGAAGACATTTTTAGTGTTGTAATTTTTAACCTGTAATAGCAAGAACTATTCTACGCTATACAAGGGTTTATGCTTTCCTTTAAATGACTTGTTACTGGTTTCCTTAGCTTCAAGGTTAACTGAATTTGGCCTTAAAGGTGCTTTGATACATCAAATATTTCTACACTGACAGCTGTGAATGGTATATACCATTCACTTTTCCATTTTACCATTTTCTAACACTGTACAGAATAACCGTAGTTAAAATAAAAAATAAGAAGGAGCTGTATTGATTGTTAAATAAATAAATACTCACAGGACGCAGGTGGAGCTATGCGTAGACATCCTTGAACGCATCTTAATGGCCATGAGCCCTGTGCATGTGGTCCAGAACTACAGAGCGGAGCTGCAGGGGGGGTTGACTCACCCAAATGACACTGTTAAGATACTGGCCTTGGCACAGGTAGGCTGCTCGCACACATACATGCACAGAAAGTATCTTGTAAAACACTGAAAATATTAGTTAATCCCACCTTCTTGTGTCAGATTGGGAGAGTGGTGGAGGACCCTGATGCTGTTACTGAAATCCTCAACAACCACGACGTCCTCCAAGCAGCAATCCGCTGCATCGGAGAGGAGAAGATAGCTGTGGCAAAGCAGGTGATGAATAAAGCATTATAATTACACTCCTCACGTTTTATAAAGTGTCAGTGCCTGGAGTATCTGCTTTTCTTTTGTTTTATCTCAGGCGATTCAGTCCTTGTCTAAGCTCAGTCATTCCAAGCCTGGATTAGACAAATTATTCCAGACTGACCTGCTGCAAGTCATGAAGGATGTGATGGCCACAAGTGACATTATTAGATACAGAATATATGAGGTATGTTCAAACTGGGTTATAACATAGGATCAGCAACCCTTGCAATGATTTTAAATTCGATTTACTTAGTTGGAATCGGTCGACAGTATGACATTACTTACACATACTGACTTAGGTCATTTTATATATTGTATACATGTCATGTACAGAGTTCGACACTTCCATATAAATGATCTTATGAAGTTTTTTGTCCTTTCTGCTTGCAGCTGGTGGTGGAGATCTCATCTGTATCTCCCATTTCTCTCGGTTACTGTGCCAACAGCGGCCTCATTTCTCAGCTGCTCAGCGAATTAACAGGAGACGATGTATTGGTCAGGTAGTACAAACTAAGTTTGACTGCTTTTCTCCTTCTTTCATATGCATTTCGTCTTCGTTTATGCTGTTAATTTGTTTTTTTACTTTTTTACCAGGGTCACAGCTGTAGAGATGGTTACAACTCTTGCACAAAGTCAGCATGGTCGGCAGTATTTGGCCCAGCAAGGTATCATGGATAAGATCTCAAACATGATCAGAGGAGCCGAGACTGACCCCTTCTCTTCCCTCTACCTTCCAGGTGAGTGTCTGTATCATCCCCACCCAAATATATATTTATCTGTCTAATACACAACAGTATAATGTAATGCCTTTTACAGTCTTATCCATACAGTTCAGCATTATTCTGCACTTTATGATGTGAGCATTACTGCTGCAGGTTTGGTGAAGTTCTTTGGGAACTTGGCCATCATGGACAGTCCACAGCAGGTTTGTGAAACCTATCCAGCTTTTCAGAACAAAGTGTTTGAGATGGCGCTTGATCCGGACCCTGTGATGATCAGCGTGGCTCTGGACACTTTGG